TTGCGCCTCGGGGAGGGCGAAAACAGCCTCCCCCAGAGTCCGGAGGCCCTCCGGAAGCCGGAAACAGGCCCGTTTCCAGAACTTCTGGTTTGGTCCATTTTCCCCCGTCCCCGAGCCTCCACGTGGACCCTGCACTTACCCGCATCCAAAAGGGAGGGCAGGGGCAAGGCGGGGCCAGCCAATCGGTTCAAGTACTGGTTTGGCGAATTAGAGGTCAATTTAACATCCGGTTCTCTCAAACTGGTCCGAAACCGGCTGAATCCCACCCCCGGGTAGCGGGTCTCTTGCTTGAGCCGGGGGTTGGGCTAGAAGACCTCCAAGGTCTCCTGTTATTCTGTTAATTGGTGGAATGGCTTGCCTCCAGACGTTGTGGGAGGGAGGGAGGGAGGGAGGGAGGAAAGGAAGGAGAGATGAAAGCAGGGGGGAGGGGGGAGGAAGGGGGAAGGAAGGGAACAAAGGGGGGAGAGAGGGAGGAAGGAAGGAAGGAGAGGGAAGGATTAGAGGGAAGGAAGAGAGAGGGAGGAAGGAAGGAGGGAGAGGGAAGGATCAGAGGGAAGGAAGAGAGGGAGGGAGGGAGGAAGGAAGGAGAGGAAAGAATCAGGGAAGGAAGAGAGGGAGGGAGGAAAGGAAGGAAGGAAGGAAGGAAGGAAGGAAGGAAGGAAGGAAGGAAGGAAGGAAGGAAGGAAGGAAGGAAGGAAGGAAGGATCAGAGGGAAGGAAGAGAGAGGGAGGAAGGAAGGAGAGGAAAGGATGCGAGGAAGGGAGGGAGGGAGGGAGGAAGGAAGGAAGGAAGGAAGGAAGGAAGGAAGGAAGGAGAGGAAAGGGTCAGAGGGAAGGAAGAGAGGGAGGGAGGAAAGGAAGGAAGGAAGGAAGGAAGGAAGGAAGGAAGGAAGGAGGGAGAGGAAAGGGTCCGAGGGAAGGAAGAGAGGGAGGGAGGAAAGGAAGGAAGGAAGGAAGGAAGGAAGGAAGGAAGGAAGGAAGGAAGGAAGGAAGGAGAGGGAAGGTTCAGAGGGAAGGAAGAGTGGGAGGAAGGAAAGAAAGAAGGAAGGAAGGAAGGAAAGAAGGAAGGAAGGAAGGAGAAGGAGGATCAGAGGGAAGGAAGAGAGAGGGAGGAAGGAAGGAGCGGGAGGGAGGGAGGAAGGGAGGGAGAGACACGTTGCTCATCAGAAAACCACAAAAGGGGATCCTGTGACACTGGGACCTTGTGACTGTCATAAATATTAACCTGCAAGTACCCAAATTTTGGTCGCATGACGGTGTGGATGGTACAATGCTCATAAGTCTGAAAAATGGGCGTGTCCCTTTTGTCAGTGCTGCTGCAACTTTCAATGGTCACTAAACGAGAACCATTTTCTACTTCCTTCCTCTTAATGGCTGACGGTGTCATCTCCTAGTAGAGGCTTTCAAGAAATGTCCCTTCCTTTGCTTTGCTGATGCTCAGTATCTCGGCTCTTCTTCCTCAGCTGCTGTACCACCAGGAGATCGGACACCATTTTATGATGCAGGACATTCTGGATGTTCTTCACAAATGGATGAGCCAATCGTATCTTCTCCTACAAATATTTAGTGTTCGTGGACTGGGGTACCTACTTCAGCACCCCTTGGAGGTAAGAGAGGAGGCGCGGGAAGCGACTGATTTTCCAGGGAGTAGCAGGTGTGACCTCACTCTCTGGGAAGTCCACAAGGCTGGGAGGGATAGAAGAAGGAGAAGGAGACAACCGCCAGAAAAAGGAAGGGACAACCCTGCAAGATCTGAAGGATCCACTTGAGGACGGATCCTCTTGGAGAACGTCAGAAAGCAGGACGAGAAGCAAGGGATGAGAACGAACCAAGGAGAGAACCAACCTGTGATGACCCGGAGTGTTAACACAAAGGTCACAAAATCCAAAACGTAAATAAATGTCCTTTAACGCCTCCAACTTGGCCCCACTGTTCAATAATATTCAGTTAGAGATAAAACGTACTCAAAAATAGTCTTCAAAAGAAAGCAAAACGGCCCGAACTTAATGAGCAGATAGAGGTGAAATAAAAAAAAAAAACCCAAACAAACTACAGCGATGACATTTCCACAACGGAACAGGAGAAGTATTTACCAAATTCAAGGAGATAACAAGGCACAGTCTGTTGGAAAGACGCCAACCAACATAACTTCAGACCAAAATAAAACAGCTTTTGCCAGTATGCAGGTCCAAACTCTTATTCAGTTGTCACACCTGCAGCCCATGAAGGGGATCAGGGCCCTTTCCTCCCCCGTAGACCAGCCATTCACGTTTCTCCCTTATTCTCTCCTCCCTGTGTGCCCTAGGATGGATAGGGGATGGGCCTGGGTCCTCCTCTGACTGCCCAGTCGGCCTCTGCCCTTCCCCAGCCTCCTCCACAACCTCCGGAGCCACACTCCTACTACCCTGTCGGCTGTTCCTCCTCTCCCTCGGAGTCAGTCTCCACCAGGGGCATAATACGACCCCGATCTAAGGAGAAATTTCCTGACACTGGGAATGATTAATCATTGGAACGACTTCCTCCAGAAGTTGTGGGTGATACAACGTGGGAGATTTTCAAGAAGAGACTAGACAGCCGTTTGTCCAGAGTAATATAGGATCTCCTGCTTGACCAGCAGCAGGTTGGACTAGAACATCATCTAGTTCCTCCAAACCCTGTGATTCTATGTTCTGTGGGCTTCTATGTAGTGGTGGGATTCAAATTTTTTTACTACCAGTTCTGTGGGTGTGGCTCGGTGGACGTGGCAGGGGAAGGATATTGCAAAATCCCCCTTCCCTCCCCACCCCACTAACCTGCTTTCCAGCTCCATTCTCCTGTTCAGGGCAACCAAAGAAGAACCAGCCGATCAGCTGGGACTCGGGAGTCAGAGGAGAGATGACAGCAAGGCCAATCAGAGGTGGTATTTTCCAGTTCTCTGAGCTACTCAAAATTTCCGCTTCCGGTTCTCCGGAAATGGTCAGAACCTGCTGAAGACCACCTCTGCTTCTTTGTGTTTGTCATGACCTCTGCTAGCCTTAGAAAATTCCAGGGACCCTGTTTAAATGCTCGTTTCTCTCCCTGCTTCATCCAGAACAGGATTTTGCAGCCGCTTCTACCACCTCTCGTCAACTGTGCCAGCCATCCGGATAAGAGCTTAGCCAATGAAGCTCTGAGGACGCTTCAATTTGTCTTCCGACACCTGGATGTGGAAACATATGGATACCAGGCCATCTCTCTGATCCCACACCTAGTGAAGTATTTTTCTAATGTAAGTCAGACAAATCAACTATCCTCTCTCTTTCGCTCTTGTTCTCCCATCAAGATGGCCTGGGGACCACCTGCAGAAGTCTAACTTGATCGAAAATGCTTAGAAATAGTTCAGCCAGAGCGGTGTTATGGTGATATAAAACAGTGTGTAGGCTTGCAGGTGATCCTTGAGCCCTTCTAGAGACAGCTGGAGAGGTATATATATATGTGTGTGTGTGTGTGTGTGTGTGTGTGTGTATATGTATATGTATATATATATTTATTCATTTTTGACAATTGTTTACAAGATAATAGGTATAAGTAAAAACATAGTTATGAATACATGGATACCTATAAGAAAAATAAAAGAAACAATAGGACAGGGATGGTAGGCACGTTGGTGCGCTTATGCACGCCCCCTACAGACCTCTTAGGAAAGGGGTGAGGTCAACAGTAGACAGTCTAAGGTTAAAGTTTTGGGGGTTTGGGGAAGAAACCACCGAGTCAGATAGAGGATTCCAGACATTGACCACTCTGTTGCTGAAGTCGTATTTCCTGCAATCAAGTTTGGTGCGGTTAACCTTGAGCTTGTATCTATTGTTTGCTCTTATATTGTTATGGTTGAAGCTGAAGTTGTTCATTGACAGGTAGGACATTGCAATGTATGATTTTATATACTGTACTTAGATCAGACTGAAGGCGGCGTAGTTCTAGTTTTTCTAGGTCTAGAATTTCGAGTCTGGTGGCATAAGGTATTCTGCAACGAGTAGAGGAGTGGAGAACTCTTCTTGTGAAATATTTCTGGACTTTCTCAACTGTGTTAATATCAGATACGTAATGTGGGTTCCAGACTGATGAGCTGTATTCAGATACAGAACAGACCTTGTAGGTCATCTAGTCCAACCCCTCTGCCCAAATGGGAGACCCTACACCATTTCTGACAAATGGCAGTCCCATCTCTTCTTGAAAGTCTCAACTGATGGCGCTCCCACAACTTCTGAAGGCAACTTCTGTTCCATTGGTTGATTGTTCTCACTGTCAGAAAGTTTCTCCTTGTTTCCAGGTTAAATCTCTCCTTGTTCAGTTTCCATCCATTGTTCCTTGTCTGGCCTTCAGGTGCCTTGGAGAAGAGCTTGACCCCTTCCTCCTCCTCTCTGTGGCAGCCCCTCAAATATTGGAAGACTGCTATCCTGTCTCCCCTGGTCTTTCTCTTCCCTAGACTAGCCAGGCCCAGTTCCTGCCACCGTTCCTCGTACGTTTTAGCCTCCAGTCCCCTAATCATCCTGGTTGCTCTTCTCTGTACTTTTTTCTAGAGTCCCAGCATCTTTTTTATAATGTGGTGACCAAAACTAGATGCAGTACTCTAGGTGTGGTCTTACTAAGGCTTTGTAGAGTGGTATTAGTACTTTCCTTGATCTTGACTGTATCCCTCTGGTAATGCAACTTAGGATTGCATTAGCTTTTTTGGCTGCTGCTGCACGCTCACTGCTGGCTCCTATTTAGCTGGTTGTCCACTAAGACTCCAAGATCCCTCTCACAGTTACTGCTATTGAGCCTGGTTTCACCCAGTCTAGATGTGTACTTCGAGTATTGGTCTAGCAAATGTTTTGTATGCTCTAGTTAGTAGTGTGATATTACCAGAGAAAAAGCTATGTAGGTTTCACATTATCCTACGTAGGATAACAAGTCTTAATGCCTTTTTGGCTATGTAGTTATAGTGGGCTCTTGCACTTAGATCATTAGAAATGAGTACTTCAAGATGCTTGACAGAGTTTGGATCATCAACAAGGTCTTGACTATTCAGCTTGTATTTTATTTTCTGATTTTTTTTCTGCCAATATGTAAGACAGAGGATTTATTTGTTGAGATTTGAAGTTGCCATTTGTTTGACCATTCTGATACATAGTCGAGGTCTTTTTGAAGGGTAGCAGTATTGTCTGTGGTGTTGAATAGCTTTACATCATCAGCGAAGAGAATGCACTTGCTCTTAATGTGATCACAGAGGTCATTTCTGTAGAGTATGAAGAGAGTTGGTCCTAGAACACTGCCTTGGGGGACACCACTATTGACAGGTACAGAATTTGATGGGACACTCCCAATTTTGACCATTTATTGTCTGTTTGACAGGAATGCTTCTATCCAGTTATGCAGGTGTCCAGAGATACCATAAGATTTTAGTTTTAGGAGTAGTTTGTCGTGTACCACTGAATCAAAGGCTTTATAGAAGTCTATGTAGATTGCCTCTATTGCTTTGCCCTGATCGAGTTGTGCAGTCCATATGTTTTTACAGTGTAAGAGTTGCAGATTGCAGGATAGCTTTTTCCTGAAACCAAATTGTTTGTTGGAGAGTAGGTTGTTTTTCTCTAAGTGGAGGATGATAGATTGGTTAATAATTGATTCCATGACTTAGTAGTTGTGACAAATGACAACTGATAAATGACATTAAACTGGCAGGAATAACCCCAGAAGACGAGCTCAGGATCCAAAGAGATCTTGACAGACTTGGACAATGGGCCCTCTCCAACATCATGAAATTTCACGTGGAGAAGGGCAAAGTTTTAACCTAGGTAGGGCTCAAAACCAGTAACTGGGAGAGGGACCCTGGAATCCTAGTGGACGATCCCTCAAACGTGAGCCAGCCCAGTGTGGCAGCAGCCAAAAAAGCCAATATATTCCTTGATTGTATAAACAGGCAACAAATCAAAATCACATATTAATATTAGCGTTAGCGTCAGCGTTGGTATTAGTACCACTTTGTAAAACCTTAAGCACTGCCACACCTGGAATACTGAATCCAGTTTTGGTCCCCACATTACAAAAAAGCGATTAGGGCTTTGGAAAAAATGCAAAGAAGAGCAACTAAGACGATTAAAGGCCTGGAGACTCAATCCTAATAAAAATGGTTGCAGGATTTGGGCTTGGCTTGTCTAGAGAAAAGAAGGACCAGGGGGAGACATGATAGCAGCGTTCCAGGATTTGAGGGACTGCCAGGATACCAAGAGGGAGAAAGTCAAAACCTCTTGGGTCCTTGGTGTGCTCTGAACTTGTGTGTTCTCCTCCTGCAAACTTAAATGTCCTTCTGCAAAATGGCCGCCACCAACTACACCAAGAACCCGACAGTTGAGCACTGAGCTACATCGGTTTTCAGCTATTGGAGGGACTCACCCTGTTTCTTTTCCTTCGCAGGAAGACACCGAGCTGCGGGTTAATTCCATCTCTATTTTCGGCATGCTCTTGAAAGGGGTGAAGGAGATCCAGGACAGAAATGTGGCAGAAAATATTATGCAGAGCCTCGTACCATTATTGATCCAACTTTCAGACAGTCGGACCAAAGAAGTGGGTTGAAAAGCTGGGTAGAACCGTGCAGGGTCTCTAAGCTTGGTTATTTTTCTTATAGACCTTTCTTTACCCAACTAGGAAACATTATCAATGGTAGCATGGAGTGGGGTTTGTGGAGGAGGAGGAGGAGGAGGAGGAGGAGGAGGAGGAGGGAGAAGAGGAGGACTGTGGGATCCTTGGTGCTCTCTGAGCTTGGTTATTTTCCTGCAGACATTTTATGACCCAACTAGATAACATCAGCAGTCCTAGAAGAAAGAGGGGGGTCTCTGTTTATGCAGAAGTGGCTGGCCATTTCGGTGTTGGTGGGAGTGTTGTTTTCTGCCTGTTAGTTATTCCCCTGAGTAGGCGCTTATGTATAAACAGTGAGCCCCGTTTGCGACCTTCGGACAAGCAAAATCCCAGGGGAGCCAGATTCCCCTACCAACCCTGCCACTAGCTTAACCCCTGCGGAGATTCCCTCAACAATGGCGGGAAGAAAGATAGCAAAATGGGGCAAAACTCACTTAACGACTGTCTCGCTTAATAATAGACATTTGGAGCTCCGCTGTAAGTGTAAGTTGAGGACTACCTGTAGAGAGGTGGGGCACCTGGTTAGCTTGTCCATCACCCCGTTGGAGATGTTGGGAGGGGTCTCCTTTCAGGACGGAGTCGCTGTGGTCATCCCTGCCCCTTTTGCCCGGCCATCTCTGAATCCCGGGAAAACTTCTCCGCTTTCCCGTCACCCGAGGAAGGAGAAGGCTGGGTTTTTTCTCTGCAGAACGCGGACAAAGTCAGAAGCGGGTTACCTGACGCCATTTCCCTCCCTTGGCCCAGGTCTCCAGGAACGCTCTCAGTGCCTGCGTCACGTTCATGGACTGGAAGGAGGTTCCCAGCGACTTGTTCAACTATGAGATGTACAGCAGCCCCCATAGCATGTACAAGGACATCTGCGCCATCATCGTAAGTTTGAGCCAAAGCTGGCTTGTTTTGTTCCAGACGGCTGTATGCTAACCGCTTAATTTAATTTTATTTTTGTCCCACCCTTATTTATAAATAAGTCAAGATGGTGGACATCCCTAATACTTTTGTATAACATGGGATGTAGAAGGAAGATACGAAAGATCTTGAGAGACCCTTCGCATCCAGGCCACTCGTTTTTTTGAGATCCTACCATCAGGAAGACGATATATAGAGTGCTGAAAGCCAGGACAAGTCGATTTAAACATAGCTTTTACCCAAGTGCTGTGATCAGGTTAAATGCAGAGTTATGAATCTGGTGGTCTTAACAGATACACCGTATTTCCCCATGTATAAGCACCCCCTTTGTATAAGCCACCCCCCCCAATTTTTGGACTGTGAAGTTTTGAAAAAAATATTTTATTAGAGAAACAAGTTATGAAGAAAGAAAATTTACAAAGAAACAAAATTCGACGTCTAGATCTACAACTTTGGTCATGACGCCAAAAGCGGTGCGGGCGACGCTAGCAATCTACGCATCGGAACGAGAGTAGGAACGAAGCATTCAGGCCGATGCCTAGCGTATGCATTTCTATCGCGTACTCGCACTCGTAATCGTATCATCACGTACAATTTTTACAAAAAAGTATAGCATACTGCTGGAAAACCAGTTTATTCCTACTTTATTATTTTATGCATTTTTCACGTATAAAAAGTGTACCTGCTTTGTATATGCCACCCCCCTACTTTTTGGGCTTGAAAATTTTGGAAAAAAGGGGTGGCTTATACATGGGGAAATACGGTATATCCTGGTTGTACAGTTTTTTAACTGTTATTTGTTTTAATTTGTTTTACATTGTTATTTGTAGATGTCTTTTGGTGTTGTTCAGTTGTATGTTGTGAAAGAGCACCTTATTTCGTTGTTCTCAGGGTTCTGAGTACAATGACAATAAATTTATCTTATCTTAACTTCTTCTCCTCCGATTTCCTTCACAACAACCCTGTGAGGTGGGTTGCACTGAAAGAGAGGGACCGCAACCAAAGTCACCCAGCTGGCTCTGATGACTAAGGAGGGACTAGAACTCTTCATCTCCTGGTGATTGGCCCCAAATCACCCACCCAGCTTTCATGCCTAAGGGGGGGGACTAGAACTCCCAAATCACCCAGCTGGCTATGAAGACTGAGGCAAGACCAGAACTCTCCCTTTCCTAGTGCAGGGGTGTCAAACTCAATTCCATTGCAGGCTGCATCAGGGCTGGGGTTGACCTCAGGAATGGCCGACTGGGTGGGCGTGGCCGGCTCAACTCCACTCCCCAAACTGCGTGCATGTTTCATCTTTGCGTTGGGTAGACCGTCAATGTCTGGCTGGCCCTCTTGCCTGTTATCCTTGGGTAGATCGGGCTGGAAGGTAGGCTGCCCTGATCCAGGGGTGTGAAATATAAGGACCAAGGACCAAATGAGACCCAGGAGATGCTCAGATCCAGCCTGCGGGCCCTCCTGGTCTCTCCAATGAGAAGAGGAAAGAGATTGGCCTACAACCTATTTATTATTGTCTTTAATAACATAAATGTGTTTGTATATATACTATATAATGTAATAATGTTATATTGTATTGCATTGCATTGTACTGTAGAATAGGATAGTACATTCCATTATAGTAAAATAATACCATTTAGTATAATAAAATATAGCATAGTATAATAATATTATAGTTTAGTAGCGTACGGTATGAGACAATACAATATAATGAAATATAATATGTCATTGAAGACTTTGTTATTGAGGGCATGAGGACTAGAAACCTGACCAAGAAAGAGACCCCTTTGTGGAAAAAAGGAAGCTATATAGAGTTCATTGGCTTCTTTCTTGCCTTCTTTTCCCCAGATGAATAAATGCAAGCAAAACATCTCCCAAATGTTGGACCAAATGCTGGATTTCCTGCGGAACAGAAAGCCTCTTTATCGAGAGGCAGCTGCCCAATTAATTGGTAAGCACAAATGCAAAACCTGGAAGAAGGGGATAGAAAAGCAAGAGAGACAGGCAGCTTAAATCCATGCACGCTGATCACTATCACACACACACACAAACACACCCTGCAGAATTAAGGACTATTGCACCAGGCTGGAAGTTGCTGTTACACCGTGCGGCTTCTCCGTAACCGCTACAATTTTTTTGAGTTTCAGCAGCCTTCTTCCTCGCTATGATTTCCACTCCCTGTCTCCTTCCCAGCCCCCATTGGCCCAATTTAATCAAAAAGGGATAAATTGTTAAGAGGTCTTCTAGTCCAGCCTCCTCTTCAAGCACGAGCCCCTATACCACTCCAGACAAGTGGCTGGCCGATCTCTTCTTAAAAGCCTCCACTGAGGAACACCCAAAAGTTAGACCTAGAGAGACTTGGAATGACTTTATTGTCCCTTTAAATGTAGACTAATCAGCATACATTAAAATGAAATTTCATTGCATGCAGCCCTCAAAAACCACTAGAATCAAAGCAGTCGATTTAGCCATCTCTGCTAACTCCATCAACGCTTTCTATTTATGTGTCTAGCCTGCTGCGCACCGTATTTAACACAGGATGTGGTTCCTTCCAGCCAACTAGAAGCAGTTTACCTCGGTGAGTTTAAAAGTACCCTAGCTTGAAGCAGTGACTTTTTCTCCAGAAGCCCTGTCGCTGATAAGGGTTGGTCCTCCAGGTCGTTCCGGGAAATAATTTTCTTTTTGGATTCGTTTCAGCTCTCCGGAATCTGGAAGGCGATTGTGAACCCTCAGTGGCTCAGGTGGCAGCTGCATCATTAGAAGAACTGTTTCGACAATGTGGCCACCGAGTAAACCCCGATCTAGTTAGTAGCCAACTCCTAGCCAAAGTCATTGGAAGCATCTCCATACAGCCCTCTGAGACCCCGCAATAAATCATTTAAAGAATTTAATGGTTTACTTTATTGTCATTGCACCTCATACGACGAAATTAAATGCCATCTTCAGTGTGTATATCTATATCTATCTATATCTATATCCATATCTCTATCTCTATCTCTATATCTCTATCTCTATCTCTATCTCTATCTCTATCTATCTATCTCTATCTATAACTATATCTATCTCTATCTCTATCTCTATCTCTATCTCTATATCTCTCTATCTCTCTCTATCGCTATCTCTATCTCTATCTATAACTATATCCTCTATCTCTATCTATAACTATCTCTATCTCTATCTATAACTATAACTATCTCTATCTCTATCTATAACTATCTCTATCTATAACTATAACTATATCTATCTATCTCTATCTATAACTATCTCTCTCTATCTATAACTATATCTATCTCTATCTATAACTATATCTCTATCTCTATCTATAACTATCTCTATCTATAACTATATCCTCTATCTCTATCTATAACTATCTCTATCTCTATCTATAACTATATCCTCTATCTCTATCTATAACTATATCTCTATCTCTATCTATAACTATATCTCTATCTCTATCTATAACTATATCCTCTATCTCTATCTATAACTATCTCTATCTATAACTATAACTATCTCTATCTCTATCTCTATCTATAACTATAACTATCTCTATCTCTATCTCTATCTATAACTATATCTATCTATCTCTATCTATAACTATCTCTATCTCTATCTATAACTATCTCTATCTATCTCTATCTATAACTATCTCTATCTCTATCTCTATCTATAACTATATCTCTATCTCTATCTATAACTATATCTATCTATCTCTATCTATAACTATCTCTATCTCTATCTCTATCTCTATCTATAACTATCTCTATCTCTATCTATAACTATATCTATCTCTATCTATAACTATATCTATCTCTATCTCTATCTCTATCTCTATCTCTATCTATAACTATCTCTATCTCTATCTATAACTATATCTATCTATCTCTATCTATAACTATATCTATCTCTATCTATAACTATCTCTATCTCTATCTATCTCTATCTCTATCTCTGTCTGTCCATCTCTCTGTGTGTGCGCGTGTGTGTGTTTTTTTTTTCTTTTCGCGGGATATTTATATGTATGTGTCATGCCCCTGGTGGAGACTGACTCTGAGGAAGAGGAGGAACAGCCAACAGGGAGTGGGAGTGTGGCTCCGGAGGTGGTGGAGGAGGCTGGGGAAGGGCAGAGGCCAGCTGAGCAGTCAGAGGAGGATCCAGGCCCATCCCCTATCCATCCTAGGTCATGCAGGGAGGAGATGATCAGGGAAAAGCGAGGTCTACTCAGGAGGAGATTACCATGATCCTCCTCGTGGCTTGCAGGTGGGAGCTATGTATATAAGTTTGCAACTGCGCAGTTAGAATTGCTGGAGTCAATTAGTGTTCATCTTGAAAGAGGCTTATCTTTGCTGGCGTTCTTCCCATGGACTTTTCTCGGTTATTTTCCTAGAGTTTATAGTTAGTTATCTCGACTTGCTTCGGAACTCTCATCAATGCAGTTTGTTTTGGTTTCCTGTTTGCCTCATTATTTACTTTTGTGGCTTTAAACTGTGCCTAATAAAACAGTGAAGTTAAGTTGAAGGCTTTACCGGACTTTAATATATGTTTTGGGTTTGGGGTTATTTTGAGAGACTACGGGCCATCACATTTTGACTCCAGCCACCCCTTCTACTTATTTTTGCTTTTTGTGGGGTAGCCATGGATCAGCTCAGAGCAGAGATTGCCCAGTTAACTCAGCAAGTGGCTCTTTTGACTGCACAGGTGGCACAAATGCAAGCTGCCTGGCCACGTTGAAAATGCCCAGTGGCAGTGCCTGATAAATTTGATGGTTCGCTGATCCAATTTCCAGCATTTTTTGGGCAGTGCCAGCTTTACATGAGCCTTCGGCCTGAGGACTTTCCCACTGACCGGGATAAGGTGGGTTTTTGATTAGTTTGTTGTCAGGCTCTGCAGCACGTTGGGCGACGCCTCTGCTGACCCAGCCCAACCAGGTGTTGGACAATTACACCGAGTTTTGCCATCAGTTTCGGGCCATGTTTGAGGACCCTGTTCGAAGCCAAACAGCAAACAGACATTTGAGAGAGTTGAAGCAGGGACGTGGCTCACTCATGGATTATATTGCTAGTTTTTGGGTGGTTGCTCAGGATGTACCAATGGAATGAGGCAGCACTATTAGACCAGTTCCAGGAGGGTTTGTCGTCGGAGCTTCTGAATGAGTTGGCGCGCACTGAATGCCCTCGCACCCTTCAGGAGCTCATGCATCTGTGTCTTCGTATCGATGCTAGACTTCAGCAGTGACGGGTGCGATGACGGACAGAGACCGTATCTGTTTCCAGCAAGATGGCGCCCTTGGTGGAAGTGCCTTTGGAGGAACCCATGCGGTTGGGGGCTGGCTGCCCTCAACACTGCCTGACTCAAGTAGAAAAGGATAGACGTTGTCGTGATGGTTTATGCCTCTATTGTGGCAATCAAGGCCATTTTGCGGCCAAGTGTCCTGTTAAGACATCCACAGCAGCGATCCCTGTGGTGGCGGGAAACGAGCATCGCTTGGCCTACGGGGGTCTGCAGGTCGGGGTGTAAAGTCCATAGGCCCGCCATCTTCACCAGCCTTGCCACCCTCACCACCTTTGACATCTTTGACATCTCCACCGCAGTCGCTATTGGTGAAGCGTCTTGTGCTGCCAGCAAGTGTGTTCATGCCTGGTGTGGGAGCGGTGGAGATCCCAGCTTTGGTCGACTCAGGGGCCACAGCCAGCTTCATGGATGCTCATTTTGTCAAGCAGTGGTTCATTCCTCAGCAACAGGTATCCCCACCAGTAATGGTGGAGACGATTGATGGTCAGCACCTTCGTTCGGGACCTGTGATTGCTGCAACCAACCCCCCTTGCATGCGTATTGGGCAGCATGTGGAGGAAATCGTGTTTTTCGTTGCCGCAGTGCCTCATTTTCCGGTGGTGCTGGGTTTGGAGTGGCTACAGGCCCATGATCCACAGATTGTCTGGTCATCTGGAGCTGTGCAGTTCCTTGATAAGAAGTATGCCAACCATTGCTTGCGCTCCTGTGCAGGGAGTGTGGCTACGCACATGGACCTGGATCTACCTGCAGATTTGGTGGACTTTACTGATGTGTTTGGGGAGAAGGAGGCAGATCAGTTGCCTCCGCATTGGGCGTATGACTGTCCAATCGACTTGTTGCCCGATGCAAAATTGCCAGTGGGTCAGATATATTCCCTGTCAGAACCGGAGTTGGCCGCGTTGCGGGATTTTATTAACAAGAACCTCCAGAAAGGGTTTATCCGGTCTTCTACCTCCCCATTGGCTGCACCGGTGCTTTTTGTGAAAAAGAAATCGGAGATCTACATTTGTGTTGTGATTACCGCAAGTTGAATGCAATCACAGTGAGGAATTGGGACCCGCTTCCCCTCATCCCTGAACTGATTGAGTGGCTTTGTCAAGCTAAGATCTTTACGAAGTTAGATTTGCATGGGGCCTACAATCTGGTTCACATTCGTGCAGGGGACGAGTGGAAAACAGCTTTCTGGACGAGGTACGGGCATTTTGAGTATCCCGTGATGCCTTTTGGATTAACCAATGCCCCAGCTGTGTTCATGCATTTCATGCACGATGTTTTCCATGATTTGTTGGATCAATTCGTGGTCATTTATTTAGATGACATTTTGATTTACTCAGACTCCCTGCAGGAACATTGGCAGCATGTGCGGCTAGTGTTGCAACGTTTGCGTGATAACCACCTACTTGCTAAACATGAGAAATGTCAGTTTGCACAAACCACGATTGACTTCTTGGGACATCGTATTTCACCTGCCGGGGTGGAAATGGATCTGGAAAAAATTCGATCATTGCAGGCGTGGGAACCTCCACAGCGGGTTAAGCATGTGCAACGACTGTTGGAGGTTGCGAACTACTACTGCACATTTATTCCGCATTTTGCTGTCTTGACCGCTCCCCTTTCTAATCTGCTCAAGAAAGAGAAGTTCCATTGGGGTGCTGAGGAGCAGGCAGCTTTCGAGGCATTGAAAGCCGCCTTTGCTTGTGAGCCTATCCTCAAACACCCTGATCCAAGCCAGCCATTTGTGGTGGAAACAGATGCTTCCGATGTGGCTGTTGGTGCAGTGCTCCTCCAGGAGTATGCTCCCGCAGGCACCATGTTCCTGTGCGCTTATTATTCCCAGAAGTTGCCGGCTCCAGAGCGCAACTATACGATTTGGGACAAGGAGCTATTGGCGGTTAAGGTCGCCTTTGAGACATGGCGGCACCACCTGGAGGGAGCTCGTCACCAAATCGAGGTTCGGATGGATCATCGCAATTTGGAACACCTACGTACAGCTCGAAGATTGAACCAGCATCAGGTGAGATGGTCCTTATTCTTTGCTCGATTTGATTTTCGGGTGACCTATTTTCCGAGTGGAGGGAATCAATATGCCGACGCCCTATCTCAGAAGCCTGAGTATACCCAAAGGGAGGATAAAATCTTGCCCTGGACGGTGATTCCGTTGGAGCGGTTTGCGGCCACTGAGGAACCTGTGGACCTTTGAGTGAGGATTCAGGAGGAGCAGCAGCAGGACCCATTTGTGACAGCTCGACATCGAGAATTGGATGAGAATGGGAGACAAGAGATTCCTTGGACGTATATTGGGGAACTGTTGCAGGACCCTCGTCCGAGTCCTCTCCAGACTCCTGGACCGGTCCCCTTTCTTCCCCACTGACCGATTCTGCTGCCGGCAAACCACAACAATATGCCAGTTTCCAAGCCTCTGAGTTTTGATCACCTGACCATGGGAATATTTCATAAGTGTGAAAAAAGGTCTTAAGGTACTGTTTTCACTGTTTTAACTTCAAAGCATCACTAAATGAATGGTTGTAAGTCAACGACTACCTGATATTTAATCCAGGTAGTCCCCCACTTACGACCATAA